CCAGGGGGCGGGAGGCGCACAGGGTCCTGGGCCAGGCGCGCCCCTAGCAGAGGCCCACAGACAGCAGGCCCACGCGCCCTGGCTCGCTCCGCCGGCCAGCCAGTGGGCAGCGCGGGACTAGCAAAGGACCGCCGAGGGTGAGAGGCCTCAGTGGCCGGGGAAGGGCCGGCCAGTAGTGTCCACTGCCGGGGAAGGGTCAGTGTGGTCGTCGTCACCATCACGGTGCGGGAGCCAGACACAGACCCACTGCCCGGCCCCTGGCCCGTCTCGCCCCTCCACGCCTCAATCCACAAACATGTGCAACTCTGGTCTGCGAGGAACGGCGGGACAGGGCCGAGGTTGGGGAGGCTCTCAGCACCCCACGGGGGCTCCATGCTGGCTGTGCGACCTGGGGTGGGGGAGGCTTTAGCACCTGTGCCTCGGTTTCCCCATCTTCCTGGGGAAACAGGGCAGGTGGCTGCGAGGAAACTGGCCCTGCGGACGGACCGCGTCCCTGACGGGCGGGGCCCCGGGCAGGCAGGGCTGCGGGGGCGAGGGGCAGCTGGGCTTGCCGACCCGTGGGCCCCGGGGGCAGAGGAGAGCGCCACCAGGGAGGGCGGCCTGGCACCCACCCAGCGCCGCAAGCCCGCCTGCCTGTGCCTCCTCCCCTGCGCCGCGCCCGCTCTCCCGGGGACAGCAGGCGCCGGGTTTAGCTGGGCGAGAGGGCTGACTCCCTGCTGTGAGCTCGCAGGCCGCCCCCGGGGCTCGGGGTGTGGGGGCCAAGCCAGCCATCTGCTTCAGCAGTTCAAACGGGCTGACGTCCCGCCCGGCCGGAGCCGGCGGGCCCGCCCCCGGGCCCCCAGCGGTGCCAGCCTGCCTGTTGCCAGGGCAGTGAGTCCCACTGCATCTGGAAAGCAAACACAGGAGGGCAGCTCGTCCCACCCCGCGCGGGCGCCCAGGCCCAGGGACTGTGAGGTGCGGCAGAGGGCAGGGCTGCGCTCCAGGTCCCAGCTTCCCCGCTGCCCCCACCGCCCCGCCCGCCCCCGGTGCCTGTGCCGGCCGCTCCCACCTCGCCGCCTGACAGCTCGCCAACCCGCCTCAAAGCCCCTGCGCCTGCTGCCCCCTGCGCCTCATGGCTGGTTTCGAAGTCAGCCGGTACAGGCGGGCCCCACGGCCTCCCGCGGCCACTCGTCACCCCCCACAGCGGACACACTGGGCCCTGAGTGCCCCTCGCGTCTGCCGGGGTGGAGCGCGGGTCTGGGCCAGGCACCACACCTCGCCCAGGGAGCACAGCTCCGGTGGCCCCGGGCACGCTCTGCTCTAGGGGCCAGGGCAGCGCAGCCACCACGGCACGGTGGGTGGCGAGATTAGGGTCCACCCTGGGCCCGTGTGGGCGGGCAGCATGGCGCCGCACAGACGGCTGACGCCCAGGCGAGGACACCGGACGCCTCCTGCCCTGCAGGAACGCGCACGTGACCCCTCATTCGGAAAACTGCTCAGCGTGATTTGGCCCCTCACCCGCCCGGGGAGCGCCCAGACCCCACCGGGAGGACCCCCAGGCCCTGCCCACGCAGCCCCCTCGGGCGCCCTCCTGGCCCACTCGTCCCACGCCAGCCGGCTCCTTCAGGGGTGGCGTCCTCAAACCGCGGCAGGCTGGCCAGCTCCCAGCCCCCCCCAGCCCCAGAGGCAGGACCTGGCCACAGTTCCAACTAAAGTCCACCCATCCCCTCACTCTCCGCCAGGTCAGGCGCGGCCTTGCTCACCCCTGAAGCCCTGGGCCTGCCCTGTGGGCGCGCTGTGGCGACACGGACAGTGTCTGCACCATGGGCAACCTCCCGGACTCTGGTGCTTGTCTGAGGACGGCTGGCTGGGGCGGAAGGCGGGGTCGGGGGGGCTCATGCCGGCACGGGCAGCGTGGAGGGACAGGCTGCAGGCCGCCTGGGCCTGCCCCGGGGCCTCCAGACCCCCAGCCCCGGACTGACAGGGCAGAGGCGGGGGCCTCTGAGCCCCCAGGGTACACAGCCAGGGTGCACACTGGGGCAGCAGGGGCAGGCCCGGTCACGAGTCCCTCCTGACCCACACTCGGCGAAAGGGCTGGCGAAACCCAGCAGTGAGGCAGCTCCGACGGCGAGGACCGCACAGAACCCCGGCGCCGTCCTCACGGAGGTCGGCCAGGCCAAAGACGAGGCAACTTTAAGGAGCCCGCCAGCCCAGAGCCTGACGGTACGTGAGGATGGACTCGGGGGGTGCTGGGTGGGACAGGTACGGAGGGGGCGGGGGGACCCACAGAAGCCTGACGGAGCGTGCACGCAGCTGGGAAGAGAACGCGCTGGCTGGCGGGTTGGAGAGAACCGGCCCCCCCAGAACGTTCACCCAGGGGACGTGGGAACCTCACAGGAGCGTCGTGATTGTTCTGGGATCCTCAATCTCTTGTGAAAAATCAAGTCCCTACACACAGACCAGAGAGCCCAGGCACGTGCATCGGCTGGCCTCTGTCCCCCTGGCCGGTGAGGCCGGTCTGCCGGCAGCACAGGGAGAGGCCGTGGAGGCAGCCGCGGGCCCCAGGAGCCGCGAGGGGCAGGAAGGGCCCTCCCCTGTGCCTTCGAGGGTGCTCGGCGCGGGAACCCCTGGGTTGTGTTGGGTGGGGTCGCCGTCAGCAGGCTGGGCACAGAGACGCCATCTTGGAGGGTGGTGAGGAGACTGGACGGTCCGCGTGTGCCCAGCTCTGCCGACAGCGGCCACTTCGGGTGTCGAATAAAACGTCCACCCTTGAAGAGCCCACGGGCGGGGAGGCGGATGCAGGGCCTCGGGCCGGCCGGCCTGGACACACACTGCGGGTCCCGGCTGTGGGGCCTGGCGAAGCACGAGGCTGCTCTGTGCTTTCCCCTCGGGGACCACCCGCAGCCGGTTCGGCGGGAGGGGCGGCCGGGGTGATCCCGGACGGGCTCAGCAGAGCCCGGCCGCCAAGTCCACGTTAGAATCGACTGCGGGTCCGAGTATTTGAGCTGGTCATTCTGATCTCTGGAATTTATCCCAAAGAAGTGGTCATTTTAAAAACCAGGAAGCAAAGATGTTCAAAGTGGCGTCACCTCAAACGCAGCAAGTTAGGCACAGCCAGAGCCTCTGGGCAGCGCGCTGGGCAGTGAGACGGGCAGTGAGACGGCGGGGGCCGGGAAATCAGCGCTGCACCCAGCAACGACGCCGGCCACCCAAGGTCCGGCAGACCCGCTCCGCCCAGGCAGACCAGCAGGGGCAGCGCGCCTTCAGGGCAGGGGGTGGGGGTGGGGGCCGTAGGGAGGCCGGGCTGTCCCGCCAGCAGCGGGAGCAGCTTCCCAGCTTGTGAGACTCCCCCTCGCCGGGGAGGCTGCCCGGTCGGTCCTGGTTCAGCACGAGACAGGGCTCTCCTTCCCACCTCACCTGTGCCCAGGGGCACACCCAGCCGTGTGGGCCAGTCACCTCCAGGGACCCAGCTAGGTGGGCTGGGGTGGGCGAGGGCAGGCTGCCTAGGCCCGCTCCAGAGAGGCAGCGATGAAAAATGTATGAGCAGGCCTGGCACAGGCAGGCTCCGGCCCAGCACTTAGCTCCGCGCGGCCCTGCGAGGGCCTTTTACAAACCCCAGGCCCGGGAGCACTCAGCTGCTCTCAGGCCTGCAAGGGGGAGGGGTGGGAGGGGGGAGCAGGGTGGGGCCCCATTTCCCAGAGACGCTCCAGGGGTGCAGTCTCCCAGGATGGGATGGAGCTGCGGAGAGGGTGGGAGTCCAGGAGAGATGCCCCCACGACAGCCCAGAGTAGAACAATCCTAGTGCCCACTGAGGGCTGAATGCACAGGCCACAGGCGGCACAGACGCCCACAGAATACCATACAGCCAGCAAAAAGGAACACATCGGGTCACTGGTGCAACCCACTGGCCACGCAAAAGCAGAGACACCGAGTGGCACAGAGGCCCTGGGTGGCGAGAATCACCAGGGAGCAAGTGATGGGCTGGGGAATCTCTGCTCTGTGTGACAGGCCAGCTTCAGCTGGGGACGCTGACAAAACTCTGGCGGTGACGGTGGAGTATGCTTCATGCTGCAGAGATGGACACTCAGAAGTGACTCGGGTGGTAAATGCTGTGCCACGTGTTTGCCCCGGGGGCAGCAGACAAGGGAGAGGGGCTTGGGCCACAGAGGCGGGGTCTGCCCCACCCCAGGCCCCCTGGCCTCTCTGACGCTGGCTCAGCAGCCCCCTGCTCCCGGCGCTCACGTGCGGGCTCAGCAGGACTGAGGCGGCATGGCGTCCAGCCCCCGGCCCTTCTGCGAGACACCCCGTCGCCCCTGGCAGACAGCTGCCCTCGGACGGCTGTCCATCGAGATGCCTGCCCCGGGGGGCATAAACCTAGGCTGGGCCAGCCAGTGAGCCCGGGGGCCACCGATCACAGGCCACCTCAAGGCCGGGCTTGGGCCCAGATCTGACTCCCAGCGGGCCCGGGGCGGAGCCGGACAAGGCCCGAGCCCCCAGGACGGTCAGGCCGGCTGCTGCGCCCGGTCAGGCCACGCGGGCTGAGGCGCCCCAGCTCACCAGACGCGGCTCGGAAAGGACGGGGTCACAGGACAAGGTCTGGGTGACTCTGCCCGCACCACAACACCCCTCGGTGAGGCCGTGTCCTTCTGGAACTTGGCGCCTGCCGGTGCCCTCGCCCAGCCGCCTTCCCCAGCGCCCACAGGCGGGCCTCCTATCTGGTGATAACAGAGGTGCAGAGGGAGAACAAACAGCCCGCGGGGGCACGGCGCCTGGCGCCCCGTCCAGGCCTCTGGATTCCTCACGCCCCACAGCCTGGGACCAGCAGAGCAGAGGGGAAACCGAGCCTGGGTGCTGCGGCTTACCCATGTCACTGCCCCCCAGCTGGAGCAGGCGTGGGGAGGCCCCGCGGCGTAGGGCGACCTCCCGGGCCAGCACCAGCAGTGACACCTCCCCGCGCCCCCCCCCCCCCGTCTGGGCACCCCGCCCAGCTCTGCCGAGGGAGCGCAGAGGGTGCCGCTTACCTTTCAGGCAGGACGGCTTGAGCCCCATGGCGCGACTGCAGCCTGCAGAGAGAGGGGAGTTTGTTTTGGAGGGCACATGCAGCCAGGCCTCTGCCCGCCCGCGCACAACAGGAAGCCGTGGCGGCCGAGCCGGCGCCTGCCTCCACATCTGGGCTGAGCTTGCTAGAGGTGCATCTGTGCAGGTGGAAAAACTCTGAGCTAAATATACCGGGGGCCCTGCACGGCAGCTGCGGGCTGAAGGTGAGGCTGTGGCCTGGCCGACGGGCGCCCACAGAGCCACCTTCCTGCAGGCCCAGGTGCCTGCGTCTGCCCTGCGCTCGGTGGGTGCAGGTGCTGGTCTTTTAGAAGGCGGCGTCTCTGGAGCCCACAGGGGAGGCTCCAAGCGGCCCGAGGTGGCCCCGGGCCTGGGAGCCCGCGGGCCCCACCGCCGGCCACGGTGCAGCCTTCATCGCAGCAGCTGACGGGGAGCAGAGGCAGCAGCAGGCGGGGCGACACAGGAGAGCCCCGACACACAGTCCTCGGGCCGTGCCCCCTGCACAGAGGGGACTGGAGGCTTGGGTGGACTCGGACGACCAGAGCTGGACGCTCAACCTGGGATCCCTCTCCACCCTCTGGGGCCCGAGGCTGTGCAGGCCTTCTGGGAAGGACTGGGCTCGCCCCCGGGCCAGGCTGAGCTGGGAGGCCCTGGCCTCCCCAACACCCGTCCAGGAGAGGGTCCCGCAGCACACGGCTGAGGTCAGGTCGTCACAGACGAGCCCCAGGACCGACAGCACCATCGGCAAGACCCGCGGCCGCGCAGCCTGTTCTCGGGAGGGTCTGCTCCACGGCCGCCCACCGTGCAGACTTCATGATTTTATGACCTATCCCACGCCTCCGGCCTCCGGTGAGCGTCAGTCACGTCTGTGAAACACCCCGGTGCACGCAGGCCAGTGGGTGGGCCCGGCGGGGAGGCTGTCCACTGCTCTCTGACCCTGGGGTGCCGCGGGCCCGAGTGCAGAGTGGGGTGGCGGGGAGACCCCGTTCATCACAGGAGGCTGCCTGGGGCACGGGTATTCCTGGCCCTGCTGGGAGTCAGATGCCTCTGGGGCTCCCCAGTCACACCCCCACCCGGTGCCTGGAGGCGGCTGTGTCCTCCGTTGCCCTGGGCGGTCTGGAGGTTCTGCTCCTGAGGCGGTCTCCTGACTGAGGCTCTCACAGCACCCGGGAAGGGGAAGGCAGGTGGGAGGCGGCAGGGAGAGGAGCAGGGAGGGTGCTACGGGGGTGGAAGAGGAAAGCGATGCAGGAAGGCCCCGCCTGGATTCCGGGACATGTAGGTTGTCCATCGGGCCCGGGCGGGGTGGACTCGAGTGGGTCCAGGTCTGTCTCTACAAGTCCCACACGCGGAGTTTCCACAGAGACGGCTCCAGTGGGGGCATGGTCAGGGGCACACGCCCCATCCCGACCTCCCCAGGCTTGAGGAGGAGGGGCCAGGGGGCTGTGCGACCTTGAGCAGCACTGGGCGGGAGGTGCGAGCCCCGCCCCAGGCTCCGTGCCCACGTCCGGTCAGTGACATTTCCGCTGCCCCGTACTCCTGCCCATGGCATGGCTGGGCCCCCGGGAGCCCCGCCACGTGCTGGGGAGGAGGCCCTGCGGGTGACTGGCAGGTGATGGACAGAGGGACAGAGGCTCTCCCGAGAGCCCTCCCCCCTTCCCCCAACCCCGCCGGTGAGCTGTCTGGAAGGGAAGCGTTAAAGCCGCATCTGCCCAGCGGATGCCCAGTGTGGCGAGCAGGCGGCTTCCCCTAAACTTCCTCTTCCCCAGCAGCAGGACGGCCACGCTCTGGCTGCCAGGGCCGAGTCCCCGCGGAGCTCATTATGAAGATAGCCCCACTGAACCCTAACAATGCCGGAAGGAAGCGCTCGGGGCCGCTGCTTCCTCTGCCTTGCAGGTGAGGGGTGCAAGTCACGGGACCAGGCGCCCTGGGGCTGAACCCCATGCCCAGGGCCTACCACTTTGCACTGTGACATGCAAGATGCGATTGTGCAATGAAAGGCAGCTTGCGATGGCGGACGAGCAGCCAGCGACGGAGGAAAGCACCCTCGTTCACGTGTGGGGGGGTTTGAGCCCCCAACACTGCAGCAAACTGCTCGCGTCCCTGCCACAGAGCGCATGGCTACCCCGAACAACACCCTGCAAGTGCAATGGTTCCTCCTTGCCCGGGGTCCAAGCCCTGGTGCCACGCATGGCCGCAGCAGGCCCCTGCGCACTGACACACGTGGCCTGGCAAGGAGGCCCTGGGGCAGGAGCCCCGGCCAGCCCCCCTCCAGGGTGCCGTGAAGGGGACACTCAACCGGGCGCCCGGGGGCCCCGGCCTCCAGCCGGGAGCCACGCGGGCAGGCTCAGAGCGCAGCAGGCCCTTCCCGGGCGAGCCGGCAGTGGCCGCGGAGGGCCGCAGACCGAACACAGGACAGCCACTGGCGGCACAGGGGACGCGCGAAAAGTGACGTCTCCATGGACTTCACCCTTAACGGGAGCTCCAGCAACCCTATGCAGGGGTGTTCTCCTTCTAGAGCTCACACCTGGGGTGCCCGCGAGGGCGGAGGGAGAGGGAGAGCCTGGAGAAGTCAGGAAGCCCTGGAGGTCCTGACTCACCAGCGCTGGCCTGGCCTCCACCCGCACAAAGACCTCACTTAAGGACCAGGCAGGGCGGGGCAGCCAGTGCAGGAATGAGCGCTGCCAGGTGGGTGGGCTCAGGTGGGTGGGCTCCCGGGTCTGGCTCCCCACAGGGTGGAGCCTGGCAGGTCCCTGCGTCCTCCAGCTCAGGCCACAGGCGGCAGGCAGCGCCCGCAGGCCTCCACGCTGCTTTCATTCCTTCAGGAGGCAGCAGGGTCAGAATTCCTGCAATTCCAGACAGAGGGCTGGTGCGGAGCCCTGAGCGTGACCTGTCCGGGACCTGCCGCCATGGGACGCCGGCTCGGCAGAGCCTCTGGGGGCAGCTGCCGGGTCACAGCCTCGCCAACAAGAAGCGAAAGGGACCGGCAAAGCCGCTGAAAGCCCGCTTCCCTGTGACGGGCGGGCGAGGTCCTGGGCAGCCAGGGTCCGGCCTTGGCCTCCCAGCCACCGCCCCTCCCACACCTGCGTGCTGGGGGCCCCGGGGGCACCTTTCCACTGTCGTGTAGCGACAGAAGCTGGTTTAAAAAGAGGGCACGCCCTGAGAAGTCACGGCGGGCTCGGCTCAGCCACGGCCCGCTGCAGTGTGCCAGGCAGAGGGGAAGCGGACGAGCAGACTCATTCCACCGTGGCGCGCCGGAGGCAGACGCGCTTGCTGGCCCCTGGGGGGCTGGCTGAGGGCCACAGCGCGGTCTGGGGTTCCATTTCTTGATGTGGGCGGACACTTGTGGGCTAATTTTTTTTAAGCTCATTTACTTACTTGTGCATACAAGAGCTGGGGTGCAGACTAGAGGTGGGGCGGGGTGGTGAGAGGGTTCACTAGACAGTGGGGGGCAGCACAGACAGATCCACTGCTGAGGGGGCAGTGGGGAGACAGGAGGGGTCACTCCCTGGCCGGGGGCTGCCCTTGAACTCGTGCGGGGCGCTGAGGGGTAGCCCCGAGCACCAGGCCCTTGCTCTGCTCCACCGCTGCAGCTTACACCTCAAAGGCCTCTCTAGCCGGGGAGGCAGGGGCCCGGCTGCACTTGCAGACCCAGAGGTCTGGCAAGCCTCTGCATGGGCAGGGCGAGGGCTTCAGGTCCAGGCCTGGCCTGGCCACTGACCAGCCCCCATCTCGGGCTGATCACTTTACTTTTCCAGGCCTCTGTGTATAGACTGTAAAACGGGGCGAGGGGGAGCCATCAGAAGCATAGAGAGAGCGGAAAAGGGGGGGATGGCCTGGGGCAGGGCTGGCCGGGGGCACTTAGATCAGGCTCGCCCCACGGCAGTCTCCAGAGGTGAGCTGACCTGGCCTGGCAGGCCCACCTCCACGGGGGCCTTCCAGGGAGAGGGGATTAGCGGGTGCAGAGCCCAGCCTCCTTGGGGCGCTGAGGGATTAAGCCTTTCCATAAATACACCACTCCCTTCCTCCCTCCGCCCGGGAAGCAGTCCTTTCGCAGGGTGGGGACTCAGCCTAAGGAGGGTGTGGCCCGGACAGGTGAGGGGTCACAGGTAAAGGGCTGCTTTCTGGAGTTAACCCAGAGGGGTACCGGGGCTTCCCGGTGGGCTGAGGGCTGGGCAGGAAATTCCAGAGCCTGCCAATCCGCCGGCCTCTGAGCCTCACTTTGCCCCTCTGTGAGATGGGTGTCTGTCCACGGGGCTGCCCTTCAACTGTCCCCCGCTGGCCTCCACGCACAGCCCCTGGCTGCCTTGGCCCAACAGCCGCCCCCCAGCCGCCCACCACACGCCCCCCCAGTTCCGCTGAGCTCTGCCAGCGGGTAGAAGTGGCGGGTGTGTTCACACTGGTCGCCCTTGGCGGTTGCAAACCTGCTTTGATGCCCCGAGAGCCAGGGGGCCCCTAAGTGAGGCGGTTCATAAATAATATATTTTGAAATACTCGATAGAGGGGAAATGGTTCCTCGGGAGGCCTTCTGCCCCCACCCCGGGCCGGGCTCCGCTCCAGCTTTCAGGAATGGCGGTTTGGTCCATTCCCAAGGAACTCGTGACAGCCGGGGTGTCAGGTGGAGTGGGGGGCCAGCGTCCCACGCGTGGGGACACACCCCCGGCCTGCCCAGTGCTAGCGGCCACACGGCCCGAGGGGGTCCA